GGTCATGAGGGAGATATTTTTGATACCTAGTTCCATCCTTGGAGTAAAGCATGGTGGGGTCCCTTTTGCGTCCCTTTACCCTTTAAATGCATATCTCATCTTGTCTTCGTGTTCTCAGACGCATGTGTCTTTACATTCATATCTATTTCAGTGTGGAACATTCAAAGAGTAATGCATCAGCTCTGTTAGAGTTTAAATCCTCCCTCGACAAACACATAGTTGACATTTTATGATCCTTTCCAAGTCACAGCAGGGAGGTCAACAACAAGCTCTTGTATGAGGCGGTTATAGGAATGTTAGTGGATATGGGCATGGCGAGGGGAGTAGACCAGATACAGCAAGCAAGGCAGTTATATGGACCAGCATAAATTTATCCAATTAAATGCTGTAAAGATTCAAATAGAAAATGACTTGTATTCTATTCTTCTACTAGGGTTTGCATCTTCTCACATTTGTAATGACATCTGTTTTTAACTTTAAATTAAGAGTCCAGGAGGGTCATACAGTTGTGGTCAAAAGTGTACCTACACTTGTAAAAAATCATAGTGTTATGACTGTCTTGAGTCTTCAATAAGTTCTACAACTCTTATTTTTCTGTGATAGAGTGATCGGAACACATACATGTTTGTCACAAAAAACAGTCATAAAATTTGGTTCTTTCATAAATTTATTATGGGTCTGCTGAAAATGTCACCAAATCTGCAGGGTCAAAAATATACATACAGCAACATTAGTATTTGGTTACATGTCCCTTGGTATAAGTCTACATTTATTCCTATAGATCTGCAATCATAGTGATTGGTCCTTTGTGCTGTGATTTCACAATTTTTTATCAGATAGCTGATTCTGTCTTATGGAAACACTAAAATATGGCTGCATGCTTGGGTTGTTGTCTTGCTGCCCTGTATTTAGCTCAGTTCATCCGCCTATCCATTCTACCTAAACAAAGTTCAGACATTATTCTAATCCTGAATGTGTTGCAATACTTGTCATTATCTGTTCAGGCTTGCTGTCTTTAAAATCTACTCTCTGATTATTTGACAAAGAAAGGGAATTAGCAAAAATTACCGTTTTCTAGATGTGCAATTTTTGTAGAGATATAGCCAAAAATGTTTGTAACTGTGATTGCAGAAAAAAAAAAAGTTCCTGGAAAGGAAAATTCAAACATAGAACAAACTTTTGAAAAACATCCAGCAATATTTTATGTAGAAATTTAATGCTCTTTGCTCGCTTGCAGTTTCCTTTACCTTATTATAAGGTTAATATACTTTAAAACACAAAAAAATGCTGTCTTAAGATGTATAAAATGATGTTTATTAATGTAAAAAAAAAATTTTTCCTTTTTTCCTGCAGTTTCATCAAAAAAAGCAAAAAGATATTGTTTCTCATGTAACACTCCAAACTGTATTATGATCTTGTTTTCTATATTTTTACAAATATTCCGGTGATAATTCAACCTTTTTTGGCCTAAGGTTTGTTCTGAGATTTACTTTGCTGAAAGTTGTTTAGCAGAGATCCCCAGATTGACTCTCTTGTTATATCTGCAGCCGCTCTATTCCATTTAATGACAATGAGAAGTTTTCAGTGCTTAAAGGCTTTGGAAATCAGTCTGCTTTACAAAATTGAAATTTAGCTGCTTGATTTTTAGATATAGTTTTGTCCAAGTCTCCTTCTTGACCCCCTATTGTCTCTTGCACCTTGGAAGGAAGTTTACCATAACAACTGCAATACGAGTAATTCAATCCCATGATGTTAAAACATCTACTCTAAGACAGATATTAGCATTTTTTAATATGTTTGATTATTTTGAGCTGTGGATCACTGACCCTGTGGAAAGGAAATGTTTGTTAAATGTTTTGTACATTCTGTTCCATATCTCTTCAGCAACACTCCAGTGGAAGAGGGTGTTTCACTGTCGCCACCTTCTGGTCTAAAGAGGAGTAACACACTTTGATATTTTAAAAATAGCTTAGTTTTTCTTTAGTTTGAAATAAAACAAAGTACGGTAACTATTATTCTTAATAACTTTCCTCAAAAGTTTTTTATGTCAAGATTGTGTCTACTGGAGTTATTTGTTTTGAGGAGCCCATTAAAGATAACATTGTAAATAAAAAAATCCAAAAGCAATGAAAAAAAAAAAGATTTTAACATGACAACATAATGACTAAATGAAAGTTAAATTAAGTTATGATAATTAAAGAAAATCAAGTTTTGAAGAATTTGAATTTCGATTCTGTAAATACTGGTTGTTATATATAAATACTATTATAAAAACTGACTTCAAAACTAATGAGCCATGAAACTATGAGCAAATAAAACAATTATTGTTTCCTGTTTTAGCAGCATACCAAATGTTTCAGAGAACTCTAGAGCCATCTTTTGGCACTATGTGTCTGCCCGCGCTTAATCTGAAATGGAAAGGAGGTGGAAGGTAATTAAATAAATCAGGGCTGAAACTATCAATCAGATTAATCGATTATTGAAATAATCATCAACAAATTTAGTAATTGATTAATTGTCAACTAGAGTAAAGACATTAAAACATGCCTTTAGCTGAAAGAGAAATCCACTCATAGCAATCATACAAACATTTTACACTTAAAATAAAAAAAAAAAATTTTTTTATGTTGAATGTGCCCTTTGTATCCTCAAAGGCCATAGTTATAGTTTCACTTGGTATAAATTTGTTGTTCTTTAAGGAACCATTTCCTATCCGATTATTAATCAAATAATTGTAAAAAGAATCAACAGATTATTCGATTAGCAAAATACTCGTTAGTTGCAGCCCTAAAATTGATATAATCATCAGTTACCATTTCCTATTTTATACACAAACAAACCAACAACACTGATCAAATAACGCACACTAGAACTCAAAATCAGTAGATTATTTAGAATGTAACTAAAAGGCAGGAGGTTTTAATTGTTGAGCCACTGTACATGGATTAGGCATCAGGTGAAAAAAAAACCCATAGACTAAATCTGTATGTTTGAATAATCTGCAGATTTGTTAGATGGCAGGTGTGTGAACTCCAGAAAGCTAAATAAAAAAATAGTTCCTTAATGTAAGCACTATATGACTTTTAAGCATTATATTTGACCTTTATGTCAATTTGCAGGCTTTCCTATCTGTCACATTGATGCTGGTATACTAGAAAGGCCATACCAAGGGACAACAAAGGGTGTTTATATTCAATTCATTTCTATTCTATTCAATCCTTTCCCTTGGAATGTGTAAATTTATGCAAAAAGGTAACAGAGGTTTATGATTGGTCAAAGTTTTCCCTCCTTAGTTTGGTTTGACCTTGAATTCTGCATCTCTCATTATATGTGAAATACAATTTAAAGTTTTTGTTTTTTTCAAATCTTAAAATCTAGGCGAGCTGTGGGCATACATCAGAGGAGCGCTCTAAGGGAGCTGCAGAAAGACCATTGACTTTTGAGTGAAAGAAAGCAACCTCTTTCTCCATAGATTTTTCTATAGAGTCTAATATAATCTTGAAGTTATATACGTAAAACAGAAAAGGGCATAACAACATTTTAGCTATTCATAATTACTTTTTAGTATGCATAGATTATTTTAAGGACATTTTGTCTGTTACTTTGTATCTAGGCTGAGTTTTCAAAAGCTCAATTTGAAACATTTATTAAAAACCACAGACATCTTAAATAGTATTTTTCCCCATAATAAATTATTTATAATTTAGATGTAGGCATTCAGTTGAAAGATGAACTGTCACTGGATTTTCCTCTGCAGCAGACATGTTGACCTCTGACTGGATGAAAAAAGCACAGGCTTGTTTTATAGTAGCAGCAGTGGTGGTGGGCTGGTTAGTAGTCCAATAAACTTTAATGATGATTCTGTAGGTCCTTTTCACAAACAGACAGCAGCCAGCATTAATTTACAGATACAGGCTCATGAGATGTTGAGATGACTCTTATGAAAATATTTTCTATGTATTAATACTTCAAAGCACATTTGCTTTTCTTAATAAATTCCCTAAAATGATAAGTAGGCCATCCACTGACCCACCAAGGCAGTCGGCTCTGATAAATTGCTGGGTGAGAGCTTTATTTGCAGAGTGAAACCTGAGAAGCACTATCCACACACACATACTGGCTTCCCTTCAAATAACCAGCAGAAACTAATGTGTTCAAGTTTTTGTGCTCTTTACACACTTGCATGTAAAATTCATGTGGATATGATGGATCTGTCTGACTTTACAGCTTTATCCCTGTTAGTCATCAAAACCAGGAACAGGACAGCTACAGAACATGTGAGATAGAGTTTCACTAACATATAACCAAGATTATAATCAGTCTCTTCTTTCATTATGCATCAGGGGCTTCACTGAATTAGTTTTTAAGCACTCTAAAAGCAACAATTATGTTTATTTAAAGTTAAAATTATTTGAATGAATTATGTCGCAACATAAAAAAAAACATTCAGTGGTTCTGGTGAAATCCAATCAGCCATCAAAGCTTTCTGCATCTTTACCTAACAACAGCAGATAGCCATCTCAGGTTTGTCAGAGTTAAAAAAAAAAAAAACTTTCTGCACACCTGGATCTGATAGGTGTTACAATGCTGACCAATGAGAGCTGAGAGGAGGATGATAAGGAAGTGGCCAGGTAACAGAAACAAGCTGTAAAAGTTTGCAAGAATAAACTGAGAATTATTTGGACGATATTGATTGGTAAATATGAAAAAAAATTAGAAAAAATCTGCTTCATATTTTAAATGTTTCCCATCAGAGGTTAATTCTCCACATTAAAATAAGGTGTGAAGGAACATTTCATGCTGTTTTTTTCTAACAGTCATGTCAGTAATGCACTTTTCTGCACCCAGGAGTCATCCTACCAAAGCTGGCAGACAATGGAGCTCTGGCTCAGCAAAAAGAAACCCTCTAAAATATAAATGAGGAAATCTACACCTGTTTCCAAGTAACCGAGGCAGGTATAATGAACTCTGACGAATGCTAGTGCGTGTGCATACACACTTGTTATTTTCTTTAATGCACCTGCAGAAGGATTTCCTAGTTTTACCTGTGCGGACACCGTGTCTGGGCGACAGCTGCTACTGATGGGGTTGCCTTGAAGAAACGGACAAAATCCCATCAAAGGTGTAGCATGAAAACACGTCAACCTGACCTCTGAACAAGTTTACCGTATTTGCTGTCTGCTGAGAGTTTCCCCCATGGATATAGGTCTGCTGAGGCCCAACTGAGACATCCTGAAGGTGGAAGTGGAGACTCTGTGGAGGGTGGGCAACTGGAGTGTCAGAGGTCTTTGCAGGTGTTTCCTCTCATTGTAAAGCATCATTTTTCATAAACATGAATCCAATGTGGAAGATTTATAAAAGCAAAGTGATGAAGACTCTGGATCCGGAGTATGAGGAGGACACTGCAGAAGAGGTAAAGGATTCAAACAGGAAACAAATTATTAAAAGTATGAAAATCTGAGAAATGTAAAAGAATAAGGTCTCTAGCTTTACTTTTGTATTTCTTAAAACTTTGCTGGATTGGCTACAGTTTGCAGTTAGTCGTACAAAGGGACTTCTAGACAGAGCTTACCAGTTATTGTAATTGTGTCCTGAGACGTGAAACACTAATAAACATCTAGATATATAAAACTGCATTTTGGTGCTATTGTTGACAGTGTTGTATAATTAAGCCATTTTAAATGGGGGCCTACTTAAAATCAAAAGAAGATGTAGGTTTAGACATCAGTAAAGGATGCTGGTTGTAAAAGCGTTTGCAATCCTTAAAGAGAACTTTTCTTTAAAAATAAAGATATGCATAGAAAAATAACTAACCCTTTTTTTTCCTTTATAACCCTCACCAATTTATCTTCAGGAGCTAAACTATACGGCTATCCTTACAGCAAAGACAAAGCAAACTGATTTTGTGAAACTTATTGGCAGTTTTACAAAATCTTATTTTTAAATACAGAGTATTTTATTTTATTTTTGAGTTTTTGCGGCACTAGTGGCTCGTTTTTCTGTCAGTAGGCTGACAAGAAAGGGGTTAGGAGAGAGGGGGAGAGACATGCGACAAAGAACCACAGGCCAGATTCGAATATATATATATATATATATATATATATATATATATATATATATATATATATATATATATATATATATATATATATATAAAACAAATGCTCATTTATCTCCGATTGCTGCTGTGTGAGTCTATGCAGGAATCGCTGCCACTGGAACAAGTGCAGTGCTGACCCAGATCTCTGCAGTAAAGCGAAATTTGATTCCAATCTAGGAGCTGAGCAAACGGATTAGTTGGCCTTACAGTGAAAGACTGGCAGGGTATGAGACAAACAGCCATCTCCTCAGGGCATGCTTGGACCATCAGCTGATGTTTTTAACCTGTGCTCTCATTAAAATTACTGTTAGGACCAAAAAAAAAAAAAGATTGTAGCTGGATCCATCATCTAGGATGCAAACATCAACTTATTCTATTACTTTTCTCACATTTTTGCAGTATCTAGAGTCAACACTAGATGACGATGTCTATCCAGAAACCCACAGCGTAGAAACAAACAGGAGATTGGAAAGTTAATTTTGTTCAATGTTGCTGCAGGTCACAGAGGGGGAACATGATACGGGTCCAATACAGGAGGATGAAGGACCCAATGCTGTATCTCAGCTGGCAAGAAAGGCATGTCTACGGCAAACACTGAAGCATCCACACTGATCAGTCATGATGTGATGATGATGCAGCGATGTTTTTTTTTTTTTTTTTTGGCAGCAAATGAAATTAAAGCCTCCCTTTTTAATGTTTCCCATCATTGAAATTTGACCTGGTTTTTGTTTGCATGTTCAGATGCAGGGCGCCGGGGCCAAAAGCTGGAACAGATTTTCGTCTCTCTTCAACAAAGAGGATGAACACCAGCTCCTGGAGGAGACTGAAAGCCCACCAGTTGCTGATCAGTGAGTTCATTGTGGCCATTAAAAAAAAAAAAAATACAATTTTTCTTTTATTGCAGCTGGATTGGTTTGTTCCATGGATGTTATGATCAGATTCACAACTGGGGAAGAATCAATCGAAACAAACAGTGCAGCCCCTCACTAATGAACTTGGTCTCTCCTTTGATTACGAAAGCCTGAATCATTTAATACATGTTCATGCGCAGCTTTGATATTTAATTTCCCCATATTCTATTTTTGTGTCTCCAATCCACTAAATCTCAGGACAATATGAAAATGGTCTCATATGGACCATTTTACTGCTACTGATTAAGTTTTTGTTTTTTTCATTATAGTACAAAGAAAAACAAGGAGTTTTAAAATGTTTTAAATAAAACTGTGCATTTAACCAGTAGTGCACTTAATTCACCAATGGTAGTTTCACTTTGCCCTGCAGTCTGTAATATAAACATTTCATTACAACATGTATTTAGTCCTATAATTGGAGCTTCTGCAGGGGGGCTTGAATATTTGAATATTCAACATTTCCTACTTTGGATGCTGGTGAAAGTTCTTAGTCATCCAGGTCATAGTCATGAACTTTGGATAAATGCTTCTATAATGTTCTTGCTAAAGTTAGTGTTTTTTCCCTTCTAAACTATATAGTTTTATCTGATGTTTTAACATGATTTCTTCATAACTTGGGATATAACTCGGAAGAAACTCATTTTTGAATGGAATGTCGGCTTTGCTTTGAATATTTTCAAATTGAATAAATTATTTAATGAGTTTTCAATCTCCTGCACCAAAATGTATGTGTAAATATCCAAGTATAGGATGCAGCGCCAGTCCATTACACAGGCAGAATTCTGAGAACCCCCTTTGCCACCTCCTGGAATTTCATCTAAGCATCTGAATTATTCCATCTAAAGAGGTGCATTGTATTTCATAGTCTCCTGATTAAATAGATTCTATTTTATTTAGTTGTACTTTAGCTATAAAAGCATAGCAAAAAAAGCTTATTCCTTCATTATCTAATTTTCCCTCTGACTGCTTCTAAAAGGGTTATCCATAATGATACAAATGTTGTAAATAGTTTTTCCATAATCAGACAGGACCACAGTGTATGAAGTCTTGATCTTGCTTATTAGGAAATTGCTGTGAAACAATGTTTTGGTCTGGAGACTTTATTCTTTTAAAGGAAGTCAAAATATGAGCATCTTTAAAAAACCTTTTCTTTTCCTATCCCCCAAAAAACGTTCAGCCCTCTTGCAGTAAAACCTGAAGAACCTCCTCCTCGACCAAACAGGCGCACAGGATTCTGGGATAGCTTCGCCACCAACTGGGCTGCAAAGAAGCAGGCCGAAACAGCAGCGGCAGCAGCCACTGCTGCAAGCGATGGTGATGCACAGCCAGGAGAGGAAGGGGAGATGCAGGCTGCAGTGGAGGAGCAGCAGGATGAGCAGAGCACCACAGAAGAAAAGGATGAGGGAAGCAGCAACAGCTTCTCTAAATATGTCTCATTGGGAGGAGGCAGCGAAGAGGCCTCCTTTAAGTGGAACTTTGTTACCAGCAAACTGGCAGAAATGAAGTCCAAGGGCATGGTGAATAAGACCAACTGAGGACTACAAAGATTACAGAAAGGTTACAGCAAGTCATATTTAGCTGAACTTTATCCTGTTATAATCTTATTTGAGTACGTTTTTCAGGTAAAAAGGCATTATGAAAACATCCTCAAACTGATTCACAGTTAAAGACGCAAACATTGGTCTTAGAGCAAATAATGAACCTCTCCACCAGTACCAGGCAGATTAAATGAGTATAGTCTATATATTAACAAAAGCTCAAATGTTAATCCTGCAAATGAATTTTTCGCTTTATTAATGGTTTGCGTGTACTGTGCTTTTTTTTTCTCACTTTGTAAAGTGCTTCATGACGGCCCCAGTATAGGGAGGTAAACTAAAAAAACTTTGCATTAGAGTTTGTGTGGTTACATTGTCCACCCCACTACATATTTCAAGAGAGAAAAAGGCATTCTTTGCTTTCAGCAAATGTAACTTAATCAGTCGTTTAGGAGAAATTGGATTGAAAGATTAAGGTCGGTGATACCTGGATTAGCAGAGGATCAGGGCACTTAACCTGTTCAGAGAAAAGGATTACAGCTTAAAGTCTAACTAAACCATTATATGACCCCTATGCACTTATAAAGACATAGTCTTTAATGTCAGTTTGTTATGAGACTAAATTGTGTTGGTTGGTAATGTCATCTTAATTTCTGACTAAATTTTTCTAATCTTTGACTGAGACTGAATGTGCAATGTGTGACCCCAAAAAAGGGGCTAATGTTCTTATTAGTTTTTTTTTCTTTTTATGATTTGTATGTTTATTCTGTTTATTTGTTCTGGTCTGACAAAATAAATATGGTTTCATCGCAAACTTCTGAAATCTCATTTAAAAAATGTGATAACTGCCGTCATTCGCAAAATATTACGTTTGTAACTTTATATAGTAAACCATGTGCATAATTTCACATGTTTTGGGTTTTTTAATGGAAAGTTCAGCCAATTGCTACATTTTTATAAACTCTGTTTGTAGTTCTTTTGCAAAAGGCTGTAGTCCCAACCTGACTAGCAGCATCAATCTCTCCTGTAATGAACTCAGACTGAAGGCTGTTTGGATTCATTACAGCAGTCTGTAGTTCCCTTCCTGCTGATGATGGTGTCCTTACTTTTGATCTCCCCTGGAAGGTGAAGGAAGAGGAGCTAGAAACGGGAGCTAGCTCCTACAATTTGCATTAGTCTGAACCCTTCTGAGCTTCCCATGCTGAGGGGCCTATGATAATAAGCATAGAGGCTCCTTTTCACCTCTTTCCTTATCTAGAGCACTTTTCAGACATCACCTATCATGGCGATACCCTTGGCTAAAAATCTTTACTGATTTGAATTCAGATAGAGCCTTTGATATGCGATCTCCTAAAAGCCTTCCAGTGCAGTTCCGGGTTTAGGTTTTGTGTCATTCTGCTGGAATGTGAACCTCTGCCTTGGTTTTAATTCTTTTGCAGCTTTTAACAGGATTCCTTCATCCCTGTCTGGTTTCTGTCTTGCTGCCCAAGCACAACATGCTCATAGCGTGATATAATCGGTACACAACATGCTCTCAGTTCTAAACTTTCATGTATCCATCCATCTTCTATACCCACTTGTTTTTTAAGGTCAAACAGGAGTTGTCCAGCATTGTCCAACAGTCTTTAGGCGAAAGCAGGTTACGTCCTGGTCTGGCTGCCATCCCATCACAGGGAGACATGGAGGACAAATAACCATTCACACCCAAATCTAAGGGAAATGAAGAGACACCAATCAGCAGTCATGTTTTTGGGCTTTGGGAGGAAGCCAGACTACCTGGAGAGAATCCAAACATGCATGAGAATATAGAAACAAGTTACACAAATGTAATGAATGGCTGAAACTCGCCATTATGAAACCCAACGCATGTGTACATTTGAGTGTGTGACACAGAGTACATGTCATGAAATGGTGGTTTTGTCAAATTTCATGAAGTGGGTTGCACCTATATTAGTTGTCACGCAAAGGATTCTGGGCAACCGTATAGCTCCTATTTAGTGGATGCTAAAAGAACTATCAAGGAAAGGAATATTGTATCCTCTTCCTACCTCCTTCCTTACTGGCAGCACTATTCGGCCAACCTTTTTCATAGGGATTGCAGATTTACACTATTCAGATGCAGCCAATTATTACGGTTTTGTTAGACCTGACAATTTTTCTGTAAGGCCATGTTTTATTGTGCCATAATCTTTCCATTATAGTTGGAATAGGTTATAGGGAATTGCTTAAAGCTTGGGCTACTGTTTTATAACCTAACCTTGCTTTTAACTTCCAGCTTGATTTTATCTTTAAACTCTCTAGAGTCACTGACCTATTTATTGAGTTCCTTGGTCTTTGGTATGCTGTTTTACTAATGATTTGTATGGAAGTAAAGTACATAAATACAAATGGACATTACACTCTCAAACTTTTTAGTAAATACTAAAAACAATACATTGTTTTCCTTCCTTCCATTTCTGTTGGTATATCCCATAAGATCATAATAAAACCCACAGAAGTCTTTAGCATGACATAATGATACATCTAAAAGTTGTTTGTAATTTTTCAAGGTGCCATGCCTTAGTTATTACTCTGACAAAAAAACAACAACTTTGAATTTAACCTTTGATAGCTACAATTTTGACATTTATCCCCCCCAATTAAGCTCTGACCTCTTTATGAAATATTAATGTTTAAGTTATTTGTACCAACCTACATACACCAACTCATTTTTCAGCATCTTTTTTTTTTTAAAGTTTTCATTACCGTACCTTTTAAAATCTAAGACAATGTTTTTCTTTAAATTGCCAGAATAATTTCCTTGGAAGCACAAAATTCTATTTCATTTTTTTAATCATTAAACTACTTTAATGATAAATCCAAATTGCTATTCTGTTTCATCTACTTTATTTATTTTTTTGTGGCAAATTATTTTCAAGTAAGTTTTTTTAGTGTTGAGGCTGCAGGGCTCCAAAGTTCCCCTATTCACCAGCAGGGGGCTCCCTTCACCTCTGAATAAACTTAGTTGATTTAACCTCTGCTCTCTGTTTCCTCCACCACCCATTAAAACACATCTCTTATTATAATATCCTGTGTCAGAAAATAGCTTCCACCTCCTGTTTCCTCCTTCTACTTTATTTCCTGTTTTATTTTTTTAAATCCCCATTTCCTCCTCCTCCATTAGGTGTTGACTCACCCACCTTCCTTTTTCCTATCTGGGACCTTTGTAGAAAATTTCCATTCGACTTTGATAACATGCTTTTTGAATAAAAATATAAAAAACACTTGAGTGAACACACCAGAAGCTCAGTCTGGTATTTTTTATCAGCAGTTTTCCAGCTTCAGTCAGATTTGAAGCTGTCATCATGGATCCTGTGAGACTCACTGAGCTGCAGTAGCTCTGTCCACAATTCCCTACAGTTGTCAGTCCTACTTTAAATCACAACAGATCTTCCACTTTTTTTCACAAAGCAGCGTGTTTCACATTTGGGACTTATTTTTTGATTTAACACCCTGAGAAAACAAGGTCAGAGGAGAATCAATTCCCCCATCATGTTGATGTTTACATTACAGTTGAATGACAGAAGGTCAGGGAAATTGAGGATTAACACAGCATGAAAAATAACTAGAATGTAAAGTGACCGCATTTAAAATTCCATGGAAGCTGTGCAATGACAAGCAGCTTTTGAATGAAAGTAAAAATGTTTTTCTATTGGTACACAAGCACTGGTAAACCAAAATCTAAATTCCCACCTTCGATTTTGGCAAAAGAAGAAAATATCTTTAAATCTACTTTCATTTAGGTCTAAAATTCACAAAACTGAGTTCCTTTGCTTATTATCTTACTCTCTATTTGACCTTTTATTAGATCGTTTTTTTTTCTTACCCAGTTTTTCTTCCTAATGCTGCATCCCTTTTCATTGATGTAGGTATGTATAAGGATCAATATTTCAGTCCACCTTTTAAAACCATGCAAACCAGTTTTAAAGAAGACTTGACCTGATCATTACTACAATGATAAACAGCTGATAGATTAAATATCTATATACATGGATGAGATATCCTTAGGTTGCTGACCTGTAGAAATTATCTTTTGAGTAATATTAGGAGATTTATCTATTTTAGCTTAACTTGATTTCTAATATTTCTTGAAAATATTTGCCTTAATTTGATCTTTTTACATTTTTAATAGGAGGCATAAACAGTCATAAAGACAAAGTTAGGTCCATCCTTTTTCCATCTTGCACTAATCTTTTTTTAAACGGTGACATCTTTTCAAGCCTGTCAGGGAACACATTCACTGTAACGACTTGAATTAATTAAATAAAGTCTTACAAAGACTAGATCCAGAGCTGTGCAGTCAGAGCTGCTTTGAATGGGTTTCAATGGCTGAACCAATGAACTTAAATCAGCAAGAGAAATGCAACACTTTGGATGCAGTAGTCTAAGCACGCTGCCCACTGGGCATAAAGGCTCCTCCTGGTAATCCATTGATGGGCCTGACCAGGGCAGTTTTTCTAGGATTGGAGTCAGGAACATTTATTTCACAGAAAAAAGAAAAGATTGAGAGATTTTTGGAAAATGACATCCTTCCAGCTTAATTGAAACTTGTGGATGGACACTTTTTGCTGTGAGAGAATTCATCAGATTATAAATTAAGGTCCAAAGACCTTGATAAGCAGGTGGAGGGGAACTGGAAACAGTCCTGACCTCAGCCTGCCTGAACACACCTGCAGTAAACTAGAGCAGAAGTAACTTGTTGCACCTTTTGTTTTAACAGTAGCCTCTGACCTCTCAAAATGCAGCACTAAGAGAATGGTCGAATATTGTTTTGCTCAAACACCATTAGAAACCACCTGGGTCTCTGAGCAAGACCCTTCATGCCCAATTGCTCCACAGATGCCCCACGATGGCAGCCCACTGCTCTCCAAGGGGATGGGTTAAATGCAGAGGTAAATTCTCTAATGTGAGATCAACAAAGTTCAATAGTTATTATTAGAAACCTTGTTGACAGTCTGAACAGAATTGCTGAAGCTGCTGTAGCAGCAAACAGAACCTTATACACAACCTTATACTATAGACCTTATATTAAATTGTTACTTTGTGTAATTTTGGCAAACAAACAAACAAACTTGCAGATCAAACAGGTCACCGAATAATCCAGTTTTGTTTACTCCATCAGACAGGCTAGGTTTCTTACTTACAGTTTTGCTGTCCTGTCAGAGAGGCGTTTCAGCTCAAACTTCTACCTAATTTTGTTTGCTTTTCTTTTACCTCTTTGTGTTTCACAGACATTCTTCTCTTTAAGGAGAAACAAAACATTTCTTTTGCTGATAAAAGCTTCAAACTGTCTCTAACCGGTGTCATTTACCTCATCCCCTTACAGTGTAAATCAACATCAGCTTTAAACATGTCAGGCTGTAGATAATCCTACAAAACAACTCCTGTTATTTGGTGTCTTTGCTGACGTGTCTGAACAAGAAGTTGGAGAATATGAGAAGTTTGTACAGTTTATGTCAAAGAATGTTGGATTTTTGACTGAAGTGCATGTGCAGTTATGACTCAAAGGTT